CCTGGCCTATCCCCCTCAATACTTGATAATGTCCTACATAATAGGGACTAAGCTTCCCCTTCTTACCAAACCTCACGACACCTTTCATAGGTGAAATCTTCAAGTAAACTCAATCATCAACATCAAACTCAAGATTCATTCTTCAAACATCGGCATAAGACTTTTTTCGACTTTGAGCCATTTTCTACCTTTCTCTAATAAGCTGAATTTTCTCCATAGCCTCATGTACCAAATCGGGACCTAGCAAAGTAATATCACTAACTTCAGACCGCCCTATAGGAGATCTACACCTCCTACCATAAAGATCCTCAAATGGATCCATACCCATGCTTGAATGATAGCTATTATTATAAGCAAACTCAATCAAAGGAAAATGATCATCCCAATTACCCTTGAAGTCAATCACACAAGCTCTCAACATATCTTTCAAAGTTTGGATAGTACGCTCCGCTTTCCCATCGGTTTGAGAATGAAAGGTCGTACTAAGCTTGACATGAGTACCAAGCCCTTTTTTGGAAGGACTTTCAAATTTGAGAAGTGAATTGGGTACCAGGATCAGAGATAATGGATAGGAGCACTCCATGCAATATAACTATTTCCCTTAGATACAACTTAGCATAAACCTCCGTCAAATAAGAAACCTTGACAGGAATGAAATGAGCCCACTTCGTCATACAATCTACAATAACCAAAATCAAGTCATGTTGTCGCTGGGTGCGGTTAAACCAATAATAAAGTCCATATTCACATCTTTCCACTTCCAAGTAGGAATACTAATATCTTGGGACAAACCTCCAGGCTTTTAATGCTCAACTTTCACTTGTTGACAATTAGGAAACTTAGCCATAAATTCAGTAATATTCTTCTTTATCCTATTCCACCAATAGACCTCCCGCAAGTCACGGTACATCTTGGTGGCTCCCGGGTTAATGAAATACCGAGAACTATGGGCTTCCGTTAAAATTCGTTCCCTCAAATCATCAACATTAGGAACACACAAATGACCTTGATATCGAAGCACACCATCTCCTTTTTGGGAGAAAGCCTTAACTGTCTATTTAAACATCGCTTCCTTCAAATCTACCAAAATTGGATCAACGCTTTACTTGGATTTCACTTCCGACACAAAAGACAATGCCGAACCATTATGAACAGCAACACCACTCTCACTGGAATCTACCAAATGAACACCTAGCTGGACTAGTCTATGGACATCACGAACCAATTCTTTCTTACCATCTTCCACATGTGCCACACTACTCATTGACAACCGACTTAAGGCATCGAGTACCACATTGGCTTTGCCCGAGTGATAAAAGACACACATATCATAGTCCTTTAAGAGTTCTAGCCATCTATGTTGGCGAAGATATAGATCCTTTTACTTGAATACATATTGCAAACTTTTGTGGTTGATAAAAACATCAACATGGACACTATACAAATAATGCCTCCAATTCTTTAAGGCAAAGACAACAACTACCAATTCCAAATCATGGGTAGGATAGTTATTTTCATGAATCTTATGTTTCCTTGAGGCATAGACAATAACTTTCCCATTTTACATAAGAACACATTCTAATCCAATTCATGAAGCATCACAATACACAACAAACCCATTGGATCCTTCTGGTAAAATTAACACCGGAGCGGAGGTAAGCCTATCTTTCAATTCTTGAAAACTCTTCTCACATGCTTCCGACCATAAGAACTTAACCTTTTTTTTGGGTTAATGCAGTCAATGGAGAGGCAATCAAAGAAAACCCTTCCACAAACCTTCAATAATATTCAATCAAACCCAAGAAGCTTTGAATATTCGAAGGGGATAGAGGTCTAGGCCAATTCTTAACCACATCTTCTTCTTAGGATCAACCTCAATTCCTTTACCGGAAACAATGTGGCCAAGAAAAGCCACAGATCTCAACCAAAACTCACATGTACTAAACTTTACAAATAGTTGTCATTCCTTGAGGACATGCAATAGAGTCCTCAAATGATTGACATGCTCATCCTCACTCAGCGAGTAAATTAAGATCTCATCAATAAACACAATTTATAACACCTCAGACTTTGAAAAGGGTAAAGTAGGTTAACATGCAGGTCCACAAACCTAAAACCAACCATGAACTCTCCACAAAAGCCTAAACGGTCCGTAAAAAGGTTCACTGACCATTAAGGGAAGTGGCATGGTTGTTTAAGGCAGCCAGGAAAATGAGGGTATTTGTACGGTTCCTTATACGGGTCGTGTAGACTCATACGGTCTGTTTAGGGATCTATATATGTCACCCATCTCATTCTCCCTCACATTCCTTCTAGCATAAGCTCTTCGAGTAGCCATATCTTGTAGAGCATCGAATAAGGTTTAGGAGAGAGACATTATAGAGTTAAACTCTAGCGCACGACTTTAGAGTAATGAAAGAAGTGGAGTTTCCTAAACATCTTGTAGCCTCTCATTCATAAATGTGGTGCGCTTCACACTCTTGAACAAGACTCTACTTGACGTGGCTTGTGAGACATCCTAGGACCTTTCTCAATCTTGTGCTCTGAATACCAAGTTTGTCACGATCCAAAGTATACCTTAGGCGTAACATGGTGTATCGAACCCCAGAAGGCCCTACACAAGACACTTATACATCATACAAGATAATAGAAATAAATATTTCAAAAGAAATATTCTCATTATCATAAAAAAGATTGACAAAACGGAAGTCTAACATAGTCTCAACAAGCCATCTAATACATCAAAGAATTGGTTAGGACGTAACACATACACCACATACAATGTTTGAAAACTAAAATAATGAAAAGCTATAAAAGTGTCTTGGTCCTCGGAACATGAAGACTCACCAATATTCGAATCCACAAGGAGAGATCAACTAGCCACAAGTATGCGAGGTAGGAGCATCGGATCCTACATTAGTGAAATAATATAGGCACAAATATGCATTAGTACATGTAATGTACTAACTATGATAGCAATGCATATACGATATGAAATCATGATAAAAGAACTTTACGTGACATGCAATGACCAAACTAAAACATAAGATAAGAGGTTAGAAAACACAAGTCATAATTATGGTTAATGCAAACTTAACATGTTACAACACTTTGTGAGATACTTTGAAAGTAACCTAGTTCATTATTGTGAGATGTTTACCATTGACCGACATAGACCATGTAAGATAAAATATGGAATCCGATGTGTATCCCATACCAAAGAGAGATGTTCTACTTGCCAAGGTAAGGACCATAAACTTATAGCTTACGTGGATCCACTAGCTAAGACATCCCACGAGGGCACGTAGTTAGGGACAAGGAGATTACTACTAGAGACCTGACCTCTACTAATAAAAGAGCCTCCATCTCAATATCCTCTTGGTGCTAAGTAAAATCTCACGGAATAGTCATTAATCATATTCATATCATTATCCATATAAAGGCACAATTAAGCTACCAATCCAAGCTAAAAGTCATTTAGAATAGCTCCTTAAATCTTTATTCGACTTCGTTGAGAAAACCTTTCAACCTTATGAATCCTTATGTGAAAAAACCTTTCACAATCATGATCATAGTAGTATGTAAGAAAATCTTTCGCAATCTCATTGATACTTTCATCTTAAAGCATCCTCAAGTCATTTACATCAATTTCATAAAAGCATGCATATCTTCATAAATTTATAATTCATAGTTCATAAACATCATCTTGTGTTCATAGTAAAAAATAATGGATCATGCATGGTTCATATGAATTCAACTCAAAAACATGTAATTACTTAAAGTCATGCAATAGAAGATAGAAAATAGCTAATTGAATCATAATTGAAAAGATACCATGGAAATTGAATAAAACTCTAACTTTGAATTGAGAATTGAACTTGTAAAAATTAGGATCTTTGGGCACCCAATGGAGAAAAGGACTCCATTGGTGAATACTAACATACCTTAGTGATCAAGGCCCAAAAGTTATGGGGAATTGGAGATCTTGAAGTGAAACCCTAGCTTCTTCTTCCTTAGCTTTAGAGAGAACTTTGGGGAAAGAACTAGGAGGGAATTTGTGATTTTAGGAGAACGATTTAGAACGGGTAGTTTTAGGACTTAAAATACCTATATAGGGCTTAGAATAGAGTTCAAAACGACATAGTTTTAGGTATTAAACACATAGGAAAAAGACCCGAAAACCCCTTAAAATAACTATCGGACTGGTCTACGGGTGTGACTTACAGACCGTAGAACTTTCTACGATCCGTACTGGTCAACCGTAGAACAAGTACTGGAGCCTAAATTCTATCCAACTTTTGATGAGATTGGTCTACGGCCCGTAGAACCTTCTACGGTCCATAGACCCCAACCGTAAAACTCAACTTTGACCCTAAAATTTTACTAAGTCACAAAAAACATCTGAAAGTATATGATTTTGAACTTTCATACTCAATTCTACTGTTAGAGTGAAATATTATTAAAACAATTACGGGAAGCATATCTTAGTAGCATATAATATATGTGATTGAACGAACATATGAAGTGTACTATTGTATTATAAGTTACATATGTGAGAAGTTACGACTCGAACGAATTCGCCAACAATTAGGCCAATCTTTATCTGTGAAAGAGGCTGGCTGGCTGGGCATACCTGTTTGATAAACCCAAGAAATAGATGATTGATGAATCACTGCCATAGATGATTGTTGCTTTTAAAGAGATCAAAATGAAAAACTGCAACTCAACACATACATCTAACCACATGCGTATGATATATGAAACTTATGATTTAAATTTGAGCTTATTTGGATATATCTGAGGGTTGAACTGATAAAATTCAAACAAAAAAAATAATAGCAAAACACATGCCTGAGACTTGAGACAATTTCACACAGTTGGAAGACAAATTTTTCAACCTCAGTTGCGTATGCTTGAATTATTCCAAAAAGCAGAGAAACTTATTCTAAAATTATATATGGAGCATTTGTTAAATAGCGACTCCAAAAGCAAATATATGTGTATAAAATTGAGAGAACAGTAAGTAATAGGATGGAGTGGTTGAAGGTATTCACATAAATCCTTTTAACCAACTCTACTTCATTAATTAGTTAGTTGTGTTGTAATGAAAAGAGAATCATTTGTTTGATCCTTACCGCTGGAAAGATTCAGGATATGCTCACACATTCAATTCTCCAATATCTGGGCTCAGAGGTTCGAAAAGAGCTTCCACCTTCCTATCCTCAACTTCCTCCAAGCAACTTGGTTTCCACTTTGGCTTCTGAAAACAAAATCCTTAATATTTTTAGGAATCCTTAATACCCACAGAACAATATACTACCATTATTGCCAAATAAAAAATAAAAAATCATCACCAACTTTTATCCACTACACCTTAACTAGAGCTTGGTACAAAAAAGGACCGTCACCCACTAAGAGCTAGAATTCCAAAGCATGTCTTAACAGAAATTTTACAAAAATTGGATAGAGTTTCCCATATTTTTAGGACTATTTAAAATTTTCCATGTTCCAGAATCGACAATAGAACCAACGAATATAAACAAATTGGATCACAGCCAACCTCAATCAATCATTTTCAACTTCATAACCCTAAAACCATCTCCAAAACACGGGAAGAGCGTGTAATTCTAGTCACAATTCTATAATAATAAAAGAATACTTATGGAACTAATGAAATGACTATGGAGCTAAGACTTCAAAAGAAAAGACCATAACAAATAAATAAATAATTAGACAAAATGTCCATTAAATCAGAATTCCTTACCAAGATAGCCCAACTATCACTTATTATGTAAAATGGTCGTTGGACTAATGTTATTACAGGCGAAGTGCCTACTTTTCTTCCTCTTTTCATTCTTCTTCTTATTGAATCCAAATATCCTCCATTGGCCCCCTAATTCCACCTATCTATATTTACTTCTGAAATGATGATCTTCCCCTCTCTCTCTAGAGCACTTCCTCAAAGTGTTACAATGATGAAGATTCTTCAATTCTTAGCTGAAGTGGTCAAATTTGCATTTTTCCATCATTAGCGGTCTCATATTCAGGTATTTAAGTATACTTAATTACTATTACATTCATGTTTATGGTTAAGTATACCTGTATTATCACTGTATATCAAGAGTAGTTCATATCTAAAATTTGAGATTGTTTATACAAGATTTGAATTAGTCAATATTAGACATAAAAAGCAGCTCATTGAGGAAAATGAATTGTTGCAATGTATAAATATTATATAAATAGTGTTCATGGAGGTATATATATCTCTAATACATAGTTATACATCATATATATATATATATACGGTCAATTTATTGAAAATTACTATCTATACAATATCGATACATTACATTTACAAACAATCAATTTATTGAAAACCAAATTGTCACCTATATAGTTACGTAAGAAGCCCAAAAATAAGTTATTGTCGTTTAGTTAGGAACAAGTTATTCCGGGATAAGTTATCCCACCATATATATGGGATAACTTATCCCATCACTATGATAAAAATGGTGGGATAAATAATCCAAGGACTACCTAATATCTATAACCAAACACATACATTTTATCCCTGAGATTATTATACCTTCACACCAAACGACTCCTAACAATATAAGGAAGTGGTGGGCCAAGGCCCGAAGGGAATGTAAAGGTGAAATTCCCACAAAGGAAGTTAGGAGCCCTAATGGAGAATAACAAAGTTACCCAAGGAGGAACTTAAAAAGGAAAAATAAAAGCTTGAAAGAAGCAATTTGGAACAATGGAACAAAGAGTTCTTTTTTTTTCATCAACATTTTAGAGAAAAAGAAAAAGAAAATGATCAGTTTGGTATTAATTCTAATTACCCGATCTTTCTTGGTGATCAATTTCATAATAGTAAGAGAACTCACGGTTTAAGCTAGTTGTGAGGAGTAGCAGATAGTGTGTGTTGAAATCATAAATAGTGCCTCACAAGTCTTAAGCATCTACTGATTGTTTCGGGTATTAACTAAACTCCAATTCTAATCCTTACCAAGGAAAATACACTACACTTGTGAAATGGTCTAAGTGCACAAATACTCGCTTTTAGAGTTGCCATATAATTGTGTCTTTATCTTTTAATTATTTTTTTTGCAAGTTTACCCATTTTGAAAACAATGCAAAACATTTTTAACTGAAGTGCAATAAAAAATTGGCTAAAAATTTTAGTCATGTGCAACTGAATTTTTTTTATTATTCAAATTTCAATAATTCAACACTCAAATCTTTTCTATATGTTCAAATTTGAAATATAAATTTCATATATCATATGGAACATACAACAATAATCAATTTGTCAAAAACAACACCAGATCTAACAAACTTATTTAACAATCTTTTATTTATTTTTTCATGTATGTCTACGCTTCAGTCATGTAACATGTTAAAAATGGCTAACTTTCAGTTGACTGATTCAACTCCCAAATCTACTCCAGATTAGTTTGAATTTGAAACATAAGTTCCATATACCATAAAAACAAACCTCGGCCATCAATTTGTCAAAACAACAAATCTAACAAACATATTTAGTACCCTTTTAATTTTTTCATGTGTGCGGACTTTAGTCATAGATATTTGCATTGCATGTAAAATTGGTTGAAATTTCAATGATACGAAGTCTGAATTTTCGAAAGCAGAAACTTTATCTAAAATTACCTAATAACGTAAGGTGGGTAACAATTAAAATGGGAGGACCATGACATTTTCATGTTCAGAAACCAGAAAGCCAACATTTATGCAGTCATAACAAACCTGATCCTTGTCCACTAAGACTGCTCGGACACCTTCAGCAAAGTCGCTCCGTAGAGTGGACCTTAAAGCAATGCGATATTCAGTTCTCATGACACCAGTGAGCTGAGTGTTAAAGATGACAGAATTTAATCATTAGTGAAAAACCAGAAGATCAAAAAACTTTTAGAGGAAGAAACACTACATAAGCTCACCCTGGATAAGTCGTTCTCAGTTTTGCCACGTGCAGATGCTACCTTAGAGAAGAGCTTTTGGGTGAGACAGAGAGAAAAAGGGGCCCCCTTGCTAAGCCCTTGCAGAGCATCCTTTGCCCATTCTGCCACTGTCAACAAAATTAACTTGCACATGAAAATGTAAATAAAGCATGCCTAGTTTTACACCTAAATAACATATGAGATTCATTTATGGATAAATTAATCTATATCTTCCAAATTGTATTAAAAGCATGAACATTTTAGAAATGTTGATTGAACTTTTTATCATTTGTTAAAAAAAATTACAATAAACAAAAATGACATTTGCTATTTTCTTCAAATAATCGTCATTTAACTATTATCCTAATATTTATGTAAAAACTCTTAATAGCTATGAACTTTTAAATCAACTAAAATTATATAGTATTTATTATATGTTTCTTTATTTAAAATTTATAATAAGTAAAAGTAACTTTAAATTAATTGAAATTTTGCTACATAATTTCTGACTTTGGTATTGATACAAGACAAATTTTGACTTTTTTCCTTGGATATCTAATTTTTTAATTTAAAAATAAATAAACTCTTAATCAATACCAATATGATTTCGACTTTTGATATTAATGGCGAAATTATATTCACTACATTTGATTTTACTACTTAATTATTAATGTGGTGATGAATTATCATGTTCCTCTTTAAGTAAACTTTTTATCGTAAAAAATGTGTGTTATTTTTAAAATTTTGTAGTCAATAATATAATATGCACATAATAATTTGTTCTTTTTACATATATATATATATATATATATATTATTATTATTAATTAACACGATATGCACATGGTATAAAAAAGAGAGCACGTGAACTCATATATGAAGAAAAGTCTTACTGCTAAGCCTGTTTAAAAATAAGTCTTAGAGCTTAATTGACTTTTGGCTTATTTTTATCATTTTAGCTCAAACTTAGGCTTATAAGCGCTTTTTAAAATCACCCAAACATTCCAAAAGCGTTTAAAAGCTAGTTTGACTTAAAAACACTTAAAATAAGTCAATCCAAACAAGCTCTTACTGCTAAACCTTACCCAATGTATCAGTGCTTTGCTGATGATTTTCTAGCTCCTCTAGTATCTCTCTAATGGACTTGTTACCAGCAAAAGTAGAAATTATTCTGGGTAAAAGTGACTTCAAACGGGGTTCTGAATTAGGGTTGCTGCTATATTTCGTCAACAGTTGTTTTATCTCCTCATCTGGATCCTCGGAGCTAATTTAACAAAACAGAACAACTTATTCAAAGTTGAAATATATAACTGGATTGATTTGTATCAGTAACATAATACACACTTGTCAGAAGGCATAAGAAACAATATTCTGAAGAAGAAAGCTGAAGACCAGATGTGCCTCATGAAGTGTTGATTAGAATATAGCAACAGAAGCACTAAAAAAGTTTTAAAGGAACAAAAGTTTACCCAACTTGGGGAATCTCTTCCCCCAAAGCCAAGCCATTAAAGGATTTGAAGAGAAAAGGCACAACCTAAGGAATGTGGACACAAATAGTTTTAACATGCACAGATAAAGAGACTCAAAAGGGAAAGGAGTCGTGCATGCCTCATGGATCTGAGTAATTGATTAAAAAAAATTGACATTTAGTGCATGAACTTCACATTACTAAAAGAATAATATTGGGACATACAATTTAGTGGCAAGCAAAGCTTCCTTCAATGTGCCCAAATTTGCAGAAGGGACATAATGAGTTCCCAGACCAACATAGAGAGCATCAGCAGGTGTTGATATCCTACTTCCAGTCAATCCAAGATAAGCACCTGCAATAGATGAATTGATTAAGCACACACATAGGAAAGGAGTGGAGAAGATAGTTCAACGATAACACCACATACATTGTTAAGCAGTATCTCACGCCAACAAAATATGGATAGATACTACCAGAAAAGTGAGAAAGTTCTCACTTGGCATCTTTATCCATTTTAAAAATTACTCCCATTGTAACAACTTATACGACACTCTTCCCATTTTTGCATATTCTATGATTCTAAAATGTCTGCCACGATTGTCATTAGTAATATTATCCTGTAAACTTTCAGATCTTTTATTAATTTCAATTGATATAAGAACTTTCAATTTTAACTTTGAGTATCAAACTAATTTTTCCATTATTACTTAATGATTTTCTTCCACTACCTCTGATATGAAACAGAAGTCAAATTATTTTATTAAACTAATTTTATAAACAAGCAGTGATGTGTTGGGATAGAAATGTTGAAACTGCTAATAAACAGTTAATGTGTTTGGTAAAAAAAGTGTTAAGTTGTTCTTTTGTTACAACGACTAAAATATCCTTAAAAAAATTTCAAAATATTATTAATTTAAAAGTATCCTTGTAAAGAAAAGAAGGAACAACTGACACAAAGTGAAGAGCAAGTTGGGAGTTCTGTTTTGGGAAAGATATTTTGAGAATTAGAAAAAATACGAAGGATAAAATTATAAAATACTTGGTCAAACCAAAAGTACTTATAAGCTACAAAATCAGAAATTGGGGATAAACAAGTTATGGCGCTAATTTTGGCTTATAAACGCCTGACTTATAAGCAGTGTTATCAAAGTTGAGCTTAAGCCCCGAAGCGAGGCTCAAAAAGTGTTGAGCGCTTTCCCTTGCTTAATGTGCACTTTAGTGTCGTCATCAAGGCGCTAAGGATTACTTTTCCTTGTCAATGAGCCTCTTCTACAGAGGTGGCACTAAACTATTGATATTTCACTTTATCCTAAAAAAAATCAATTTCTTTGATCATATAATTGTCACTCATGCATATAATTATTAGCCTTGGACTAAACATATATATTTGTACTTTTCTCCCTTTGCGCCTTTTTTCATTAAAGTCTCACACTTTATTTGTGGTTTGCGCTTGAAAGCCAATATATCTTAGAGCTTTTTTGCGCTTTTTGCTTTTAATAACAGCTTATAAATACTTTGGTGTTTACCAAATGCGTAGATAAAGCTTAACAATGCTTATAAGCCAGTTTAACCAGCTTATAAGCGTAGTCAAACACCCTCTTAGTCACTATTGCTTCTCAATAGGTTTTCCCCATGGTTCAAGATCATGCTTAGCCATTGACAAATATAAGTGTAACATTTGTCTGCAACCACAGATCTACTTCACCAGTGCTTGCACGGATGACCTCATTTTGGTTATCACTTAAATCAGAGAACTCAAGAGTACATTTACTAAAATCACAATCAACCTTCATAGTCCTAATATTGCGTTAGTCTTGAATGTTTAGTAAGAGGATCCACACCAGGTAATGTACAAACAGAGAGCTAATGTCCATGTTCTTCAGAAATAAAACAATAATTGCTTTGTGAACATGAAAGGGATGTGTTTATGAACAACAGGTGCAGTTTTATCAAAAGTGGAAAACACAATAAAGCTCTAAGGTCCAGTGGCGCTTTAAGCATGACTAAAGTATCGCCTTTAATGCAAAATGGCGCAATGGAGAAAAAAAATGCAAAAATGTATGTTTAGTCCAAGACTAATAATAATAAGCATGAACAGAAAATATATGTACAAATAAATTCGGATAAAGAAATTACGATAAAGTGAAATATCAACCATTTAGTGTCATCTCTTCGGGAGATGCTTATTAGAAAGAAAAAGTATGATTTAGAGACTTGATGACGACATTGAAGTGCACATTAAGTGAGGCAAAGCGCTTAACATGTTTTGCACCTCACTTCAGCTCTTAATCGCACTTTAAGCATGGTTTTGACAACACTGAACAGGTGGAAATGCATGAAGTGGTATCAGGGTGTTAATAAGTGTTCTTTCATCAAACAAACAACTGAAAGGCTCCTCAGTTACAGATCAAAAAACTTATCATATTTCTTCCTAAAATTCATCAAAGAAGGAAATCACCTCAAACACCTTAGAAAGTTCTGAAATGTTGATCATAATTCCTACCTCCAAATTTTAGAAGCCCAATCAATAGCATTCAATAACATACAGACACTGATGGAAGCATGCTTCTCTTGCTGACTTTAGCACCTAGATATCAGGGACGGAGCCAGCTAGGGCCTAGGGGGTTCATTCGAGCACTCTTGGATGGAAAATTACATTATTTATATATGATTAAAATTATCTTTAATGTAAATATAATAGACGTTGAACCCCCTTTTGCTTCTTTGTATGTTTACCTTTCATATTTTGAAACCCGTTAGTGAAAATCTTGGCTCCGCAAGTGCTAGATATTCTTCAATACTTTCTGTAATCTTCCATCCCCAGATCACAGAGCTCAATTACCAAACTTAAGCTATTAGAGAGGAGAGAGATCTATGCCCCAGTTATATGAGTTTCCATCTTTTATTTCTCTTTTTAGTAATTTTTCATGCACCAAGATAGCGTTATTGGAATTTACTCAGCAAGAAACACTCAACTGAATATAAGAAAATATACCAACTGTGCCTTCTCCAGGACCATGTGCCGCTATATAGGAAAAACCGACATCTGGAAACAATCCAATTCCATTTTCTGGCATCGCTAGAACAGTCCTCTAGAGAAAAATAAGAAGTGTAAATAAGATGTTACTTGCTAAAACGAGTAATTCTCCATAAGGGTAGAGAACTACCTCTGTAATAACCTTGTAACGACCATGACCAGATAAACCAATTCCAAAGCCCATTGTAATGCCATCCATGAAGCTGATGTAAGGCTTTTTGTACCCGGAGATTTTACATATTATAGGATACTCAGCTGTGAATACCTGTTACATATAACAGGAAAGGATATTGATTTCTACTTTTACACAGAGGCCTCCTAGCTCAGCTGCAGTATTCAATTGAATATAAGCATAAAATAACACATTCAAGCATTACAAGGGGGGAATATAAAACTGCTGTATAAAGTGCAAAGAATAAGATCAAAGCATGAACTGGTGATGCTTTGGTGTTAACATTCTCCAAGAATCACGTGTGTACCTGAAAAAGAGAGCCTACAATTTTTAACATGGAATAACTTAAGATGCATGTACATAAACTACAGCAGGTGTGCGTGCACACATGCCACGAGAAGGACTATGATTGACAAAGATGGTAAAAACATTAAACAAGGGTCATGATAGACTAAGATGGTAAAAACATTAAACAAGCACCTCATTGGTTGTGTAGGAATACGTGCATTGTTTGAAAGATTTAAGAATATTGTAAATGATACTGTTTATCAATTAGGATAAGCCAGAATAAATTAGATTGATTATATAATCAGGCAGAATATTGTTTCCCATCTTAACACTTGTATATTTACTACTTAAGACCCATTAGCTTGAAGGAATAATCAAGCTGAGTTTTCTCCTCCTTGTTCTCTTCTTTCACATGCTAATAGAGTCCTAGTGTTAAAATTCTCGTTGAACAATCACCAGGGACATTCCGGAGGAAGAAAAGATCATCACCACGCATTTTTCCGGTGACCATGAAACTCTCCAACTGGTGAGACATTGTTGTTATCGCCTTGCTGTGACACTTACTGAGGTCTGTTGTAATGACCCTCTAGGTCATTTTCTCCGTTTTTAGTATTTTCGGGGTTTAGAGCTTTCCTATAGCGTCCCAAATCATTTGTGACTTGTTGGGACTGATGGTTCAGTCACCGGATCGTACGTTTGGTTTTTAAGCAAGTTTTCCTATTTTGCAGCTTTTGAAGTTTGAACGGTTGACTTCGGTCATAACTTCAGATAAACAACCTCATAATGTAATTCTGATGGTTTTGTTAGCTCTGGAACGTCGAATTTAGTTTGGATGAACCTTTCGTTCAGATCCCAAGGCTTTCGGACTCATTTTAAGCAACCATGTGACTTTTGGCTAAAACGGAGCCTTAGGTGTGGGACCCACGTTTTGTCGAGACGACCTCAAATGAAAGTTTCGACATCCCTGTCTCAAATTTGGTGGAGTAGTATAGTTTGTTTGTGTGCACAAGGTTCCGAACCAATCCCGAGCACCCGATCGGAATCCGTTGGGACTTAGCTATTTTGGTTGGTGCCAGCCTGCTGTGTAGCCGCTTTAGCGGCCTAGGACCGCTTTAGCAGCCTATGGACCACTTTAGCCTGAGTTGGCCATCATGGGCTTGGCCGCTTAGCAGCCATCAAGTGGATTATTCATCAAAAATCTTATCCTTATAGCTCTTAACAAAACAGGGTAGATGACACAGGAAGAATAGACAGCTCCCACTTAACCTATACAATCGCATGTGCCCTTGCAATTTTGGGATGATGTGGTTCTCACAACATATTATTTGATTAATTGTATGTCTTTCTATGTCATCCAAAATCAGGTTCTACACACAACTTTATTCCCAAATTCACCTTTGTAGTTTGTTCCTCCTCATATATTTGGGAGCACATGGTTTATTCATAACTTAATCACTGGGAAAAATAAATTAACCCCCCGTGCTCCCAAATATGTGTTGCCTGGTTATTCTCAAGTTAAGAAGAAATCGTTGTTGCTCACCTAACCTACATTATTAACTTATGTTAGTTGATGTCAAATTTTTCGAAAATCAGCCTTATTTCACATCTTTATCTTCTGACAATTCTGACATCTCAAGCTTTACCTCAACCACCTTTAGGGGATTCTATCTACACCTCTCCTGCTCCCACAACAGTTTTACCTATATCGCCTTCTAGGGATCCTATTAGGACTTCTCCTTCATCAGCACCACAACCTTCAAGTACCTCTCCTTCATCTCCTCCACTAGCTCCACCTCTCTTAACTTATCATCATCATAAACTCCCACCAGGTTGAACTGATTCACGCCTTGCTTCAGATCCTTCACCTGTTGCAGACTTGTCTTCTCCTAGTCCTTCAGTTGCTCTTTGAAGTGGTATTTGCTCCAATCATAATCCCAACTCCAGCTATGTTGGTTTGAGTTATTACCGTCTGTCATCACAACAACATGCATTTGTAGCATCCATGCCTTCTATTAGTATTCCTAAGTCTATCGTTCAAGCCTTTTCTCATCTAGGAAGGCCACGTTATAATTGAGGTGATGCCTATTTTACACTTCTTATTTGTTAACAAAAATCTACTTTACATGCTATTGGTACTTGGAAGCTTATTTCTCAAACTCCTGGCAAATGTTGGTTGTTGATGGGGTTATGCAGTCAAACTGTCAAAGTTGGCTCAAATGTAAAATGATCTACTCAAGAAATGTCTAATGGTTAAAGGTTATACTCAGATCATGGACTTGATTGCAATATACATTCAGCCATGGCTAAAATTGCATTTGTCCATCATTTTCAGTCTATGGCTACTTTACACCATTATCCTCTTTATCATTTGGAAATCAAGAAAGTTTTTTTCCACGACAATCTTGAGGATAAAGTATATATAGAGAAACCACCCAATTTTGCTATTGTGGTCTCTATATGGTCTAAGACAATCTTCTCAAGCATGGTTTGGTAAGTTTAGCACGGTTATAGAGGAGTTTGGCATGACTCACCACGAGGTTGTTCATTATGTATTCTATCGACACACTGCTCCAAATATGTGCATTTTTGGTAGTTTATGTTGATGTTGTCATCATGGGCAATGATCAGGATGGTATAACTAAATTGTAGCAATGTTATCTCATGACGTTATGTATGCTCTATATATTCTTGAGGAGATATGAATGACATGTCGTAGACCCATTGTCACTCTTGTAGATCCGAATGCTATGTTTTTTTGCCATGATAGGGGAGCCCTTAGGGGTCGTTTGGTGTGAAGGATAACACCAAATAGTCCTGAGATTAAATTATAGTGCCACTTAATTTGTTGTTTAGTTGGCAAGTCCAGGATAACTTATCCCGGGATTAACAATTACTATCGGGATAAATTATCCTTCCCCTTGGGTAATATAGTAATTCCGGGAGAACTTATCCCGGGATAAAATAGGTAAATGACAAAGATATCCCTTTAAACCCTTTTTATATATCACTTTTCACATTCATGAAGGGTATTTTTGTAAACCAATAATTTGTTCTTAAAATTTATATAATGCATATTATTTTGAATACAACAAACCAAACACTCAATAAGAAATAATCTAGCATAACTTATCCCATCATAACTAATCTGAGCATATAATTAATCACGTCATAACTAATCCCATCATAACTTGTATTCAAACCAAACGACCCCTTAGAGACCCCAGAAGATATAGGTGGCTGATCGGTACATTGAACTACCTCATAGTGAATCAACCATACATTGCATTTGGTGCGAGTGTTGTAAGACAGTTTATGGACTCTCTTTGTGATACTCACTGGGGTGCAATTATTCAAATTCTTCGATATATAAAATCAACCATAAGTAAAGGATTACTTTTTGAGGAACAAGGTCATGAACAAATTGTTGTATACACATATGTTGATGGAGAAGTATCACTGTCTGATAGGCGGTTCTACATCTAGACATTGTGTTCTGGCAGGAGGTAATTTATTGTCTTGCAAGAACAAGAAATAACATGGTTGCTATTTTGGATCGAACAATTGTTTAAAGAATGGAAGTATGAGAAATCAGTCAGAAGGAGAAGGAACTTATGTGTGATAACTGATAACTGCGTTGTTCTTCATATGCACCAAAACTGATATTTCATTAAAGAGCTCAGTGATTGACTGTCACTTCATTAGAGAAAAGATAATTTCAAGAGACATTGCTACAAAATTCGTGAAGTTAGTGATGAGCTTGCAGATATTTTTACCAAGTTCCCCAAGGGTTCTCGTATCAATTGCATTTGAAACCAGCTTGGTACATACAACTTGTATGCACGAGCTTGAGGAAGAGTGTTAAGAATATTGTAATTAATATTGTTTATCAGTTAGGACTAGTCAAAATTAATTAGACTGTTCTCTTCTTTCACATGCAGTGTCAAACTAAGCATGCTAAAAGAAAAGCCCATAAATATCTAGCATGCTTATATTTGAGTTTGACAATGCACTTAATCCTGCACAACTAATGATGATCTTAGATAGTAGTAAAAGAACCTAGTGGGAGTGTTAGAGTGGATAAAAGTCCCACATTGGTTGGGGAATGGACTAGTAGTCTCCTTATATGGACTTGGGCAATCCTCCCCTCATGAGCTAGCTTTTGGGATTGAGTTAGGCTCAGGTCTCATATCTTAACATGGTATCAGAGTCAGGTTCATCCCCGTTTGGACTCTCGGTCCACGCTCCAGTTGGGCCTGGGCGTGAAGGGGGGTGTTAGAGTGGGTAAAAGTCCCACATTGCTTGGGGAATGGACCAATGGTTTTCTTATATGGACTTGAGCAAGTTAGGCTCAAGTGCCATATCTTTATAGGGAGCAAAACCATTTGACACATTTATAAATTGACCTATGAAAACAAATTTTGTTTATATTAGAAGTGTGGCACTATAACTTCTTAGTAATAACTAGAGTATCTTTAGGATGGAATAGGTACCATGTGCCTCAATGTTGTTTATCAGTTATAGGTCCAGTTATTCTTCTCATGGCAGCATATTATCATACATTATAGTTGGTTAAATTCAAGTTGTTTCAGGGTTTATTTAAACTAGATATTAATGTGATTTCTTACTTCTAAGAGGACAATTTGATATTTATGAGAATGGTCACTAACAATTAATAAAACCTATTTATATTTAACTTTCAAATATACCAGCAACACTTTGTCTCCACTATGAATGTAAATACTATGATGAGCAAAATTATTTGAATTGTCTGTCGAGCCCATTCTTATTCTAGCATCACAAAGCAACTTATGATTGCACACAATACTTTCTCTACGGTATACAGGGAACATTATTTGTTATTCCAGAGCCTATGATGTTCCATATCTTCCATTACTATTTTTTTATGTGATCCGATTTCATGTCTCTTTTATACAAATCTTCCAATTTTTAAAATTACGAAATATCAAAATATAAAAAGTCTTAGGCCCCACACTATTAGTCAATTACTTCTTTCACCACAGATAAAAAGGCCCTGCCTGTATTTTTCTGTAGATAACTGATAACTGCAACTAAGACAATGGTTCTTTGGATAGTTATTAGGAAGCGAACTAACAAAAGGTGTTGGTAATCAGTTTGCCACAATCATAGTGTGTGTTCTATAGCTAGTGCAGTTTGTTGTGAGTATGGGACTTGCTTAACTGAGTAGACAGAATCATGATCAGCTATTCATGTTTAAAGGACAGTATACAAAACCTCTATCATATCTGACTGCTGTTTTTTTGCTGCAATCTGCTTGATATCACCACCTGCAGGTAAAATCACTAGGACTTCCGTTATCCATCATCTTATTAGCATCAACTAATCAAGACAATGTCAGAAAATGAAATTACAGATAGCAAACTCCAAAATATACTGTGGATGACACCAGCTTTGACACACCACCAAAAATACAATACAACATGAGACACTAACAGACACTTTCAACTGTAAGTCAAATTTCTGTGGGGGGGGGCGCGAGGGGGGAAGAAAAAAAAAAAACTTTTGCATGAAGTTGCTCTTTTGTCCCAAAATTCGGTGACAACCCCCTAATAGTCAATCTTGCATTGACAATGAATGGTGACCCTCAACTCTTAGTAGCACAGGGGATACTATGTAACATATCTAATAGTTGGTCTCTAACAAAATGAATAATGAGATAATGTAACAACTACTTTAAATTAAAATGAATAATGAGATAATGTAACAACTACTTTAAATTAAAATGAATAATGAGATAATGTAACAACTACTTTAAATTAAAATGAATAATGAGATAATGTAACAACTACTTTAATAATTAGATGGTGCAAAACTACCAACTAGAGGTCCACCAAGCATCTTTCCTCTAAATAAGGAAAATCATGTTACCTGCTGAAAAGGCACGGGGGGAGCTACTGGCAGCCAAAACACATTTTACCGTTGGGTCTGTTTCCCATTCATCCAGTAAACTCTTGTATTTGATATCCATATCTGCATCATATTTCAATGAAGCGTGAATGCAACAGACCAAACTATGCAAATGGTAATGATAATGTTAACTTCAATTCGTCAGTCTTACTTTTCCCTTCTAGTCTGTTCAAAAAATGATGACTCTGTTCCTTTTTAGTAACTCTTTAATTTCAACTTTTCACACGGTCTCAATATGAAAAGACATTTTGGTACATTATACATATCTTTAGTTTAAGATTACAAGATTTAAAAGTCTTGTTTACTTTCTTAACCTTCATTTCAAGTCAAAAAACAGACAAACAAATTGGAACAGAGGGAGTAACAATGATGATGATCTGATGAGAAAAATGATTATAGTATCAGTTTAAAACAATAAAAATAATAATTACATTGTGGTATCCTGGTCCGCTAACCTAACCCGGTAGCAGACTATGTGTAGGGGTAAATCATTCCCTAAAGATAGAAAGAAGAACTACAAATTATTATAGTATTTCTTTGATTTATTATATACCAAATGATCAACTAAACCTGTTTTTGGCAATAATTCAAAATAGAACAAGTAATTAAGCTACCCACTCGTACAGGTAGCTCAAAGTCAAACATTTGGCTCTCAATCCTAAAGCAGCATTAAAGATGTTAATTAATAACTTGTAAACGAGAAATCTAGAGTGACAGTAAAGAATAAATGGCGAGGATCCACATTAGGTAAAAGAGTTGAAAATTCACCTAAGTTCATTGCATTGAGAGCTTTAGGACGATCGAGAGTGATAACGGCGACACCGTTCGGGTGGACATGTCCCCTGACAAACTCATCGGCGCCGGAGGCCATGATCGCGAAATTTCGATGAGGAAGAAGCATAGTCATTTTGGAGTAATTAGGTAACAAGGAGTGAGAAAAGCGGAGAGCAGCAGAGAGAAGACAAGCGGATCGACCTATTTTTAAAGCATTAGAAAGTCTTGCCATCCTTTGAGTTCCTCAATCCCAACAATCATCTCTTCTTCAAATATATGTAGTAGCTTTCACCTTAATTCCTCTAAAACCATCTCTTTTTTTCGATTATTCCTCCAAAACAAAGTTTAGTAGTGCATATTTGTTCTTATATTTGAATACTAGGTAATTTACCCGCGCGGCATAAATAATCTTTCTAAACTTTTAAACAACATTTCCAATATCGACTGTTATAAGAAAAAAAAAAGTAAATTTTAGTTGATTTTAAAAATATTTCAACAGAAATTAAATGATTTGACATTATCACATATCTCAAGAATTTTAAATATATAATGAATGATTTAAAATATCTTGATATCTAATCATTTTTATCTTTTACATAATATATCATAATATATGTTTGATGAAATAATTGTCTTGTTAAAACTGAGTGATGTTTTTATGTAGCGATTAAACATATTTTTTCTATTTTTTTTTGTACATGAAAAATATATAACTGATAATTTTATGGTTAGAATAACTCCTTGTTAAAAAAAATTATATAAAAGTTTTTGATAATCAATATTAGTTATAAATAAGTTACGACCGTTAAAAATGTACACCACAACAACATAAATAATTTTTTTTAGAGACAATCTACTTGTTTGAGGTCAAACATTCACCACTTTTCATTATTCTTACTTTGTTATTCTAACAAAATTTATAGAAGGAGAAAAATAAATTTGAAACAACAACAAATAAAATTGTTGACCCTTTTAGAAATTCATTTTTCATTAAACTGCTGCTCTGAAGGCTTTTCTAGATGCTTCATCAATGCAACTTTACGACTTTTTCAGAAATATGTATGTATAGTTGTTGCATTATGAAAGTACAAGTAGATCAAAATGTTGAATTCTAGACTCATGTTAAAGAAATATTCTCGAACATTAAAAAAAATTAAAAATGAGTCTAACCTAGATAACTCAAAGGCTCAGCAATGACTTGGGACATAAAGGACAACAAATCTATGCTAATAGACATATCTTTTGTATCTTAAGATATTACTTTTATTTAGAGCAGGTTTTGTTTCATATTCTGCAAATTAAGCTTGCTGAAAATAGTCATAACTCACACCAAAAATATATAGTAGAGCTGAATGAGAAGGAAAAAAAGAAAAAACATTAAAAGGACGAAAGTTTTGACCAAGTGAGATCATATACATACCAAACGAAAAATAATCAATACAACTTTAAGGAGACAACAAAATAGCGAGAAAAAACATACGTTAAAGGGAGTAAACTATGAAATATACAATGATGATAACAAATCATTCTTACCACAAAAGTTCTCATGTTTTAAAATAACATACCTCAAAAAATTGACTAATACTTCAATCAACTTTCAATCCTTAAAGTACTCATAATATCCAGTGATAAAATTTAGTAAAAATAGATAACAATAACATAAATACAAAAAAATATGGGCATGCAAAGTTATTAACTCTCAGAGGATTTTCTAAAGAACACAAAATCTCATCCTTGTATGTGAAGAAATGACGTTGTTGATGAACAAATTAAAGATTTGTAAGGGTTTTTTTTTTATTGTACCTTCAACAATTCTAGTAGAGAAAAACTTGCTTGAATACTCAATTAACGTTTGTTATTTAATATGTACTAACAAATACTTATAACAATAATATTGCAGAAACATAAACAACAAAATTTAAAGCATGTACTCAAAAATAACATTTAATAATATAAGCATAAATTAATTACTGTAAAAACATGCCAGGATCTGTAACAATTGAATGAAATAGAATGTAAAAAATCGACCCACTGAAGTACAATGTCTCCTTAAGGAAATTATTTCCCCCTAGTACCCGAGATTTAACGGAATAGATCCTCTCAAGAAAGAATGATTCTATTCACCAGTGTATTGATACAAAAAATGGCGTCAGTGAGTCATTCAACAGGAGAAAAATACACAATTATTTAATTATCCGGAAAAAGAAGAAGAAGTTCAAAATTTTCGTCGTTTTAAAATGAGAGGAAATTCCTCTATTTATAGACAACAAAAGGTAGTGTGAACAGATGCTTATTGTGTCTTATTGGAAAGGTAACAACCTCTCATAAAAGTCGCAACTCTTCATAAAAGTCACAACTCTTTATAAAAATCACAACTTTTCATGAAAGTGGAAGACTAGTTTTGGAAACAAAATAAATTATAAGGGAATCCTGGTTTGTGGTGGCGCCACATAGGCGGGTCTAGGGTTCTCTTTATATATATATATATATGATACTTCTTAAAAAAAAATATACTTCTTTAAAAAAACATGTTAGCTTATATAATACTATGAGTTAATTGCTTAATGGAAAAGAGAAAAGACGAAAGTTGAAATTGTTCTGAATTTTTAAAAAGACACATTAGTTATGTGGATGTTCTATTGTCACGCCCCGAGCCTACATCTTGGGCGGGATTGGCACTCCAGAACCATTGATGGCCCCAAGTGAACCCTTGGCTTGACTTACTACTCAACAAAAGACTTACTCATGATAAAATACTTTAGAAAGTAAATTGAACTGCTCAATAAATACTTAGAATGTATAAGAACATTCACTAGCCAAAATGACACACAAGTCTCAAACATAACTGAAATGGAAAGACTCAAGAACTAACATCAACTAACTGTCTCTGAAGCCTCTAAACAACTGAGATGGACATCGGGACAAGACCCACGACATCCTAAAGAACTAAACATACTGAAAGCGATAAAAGGGGATCCTCCAGAAAGCAAGGAGGCTCACCACAAGACTCTGAATACTCAACTAGATCAACGAAGCGCTGGATGCTGATCTTGGTTACCTAATCTGCATCATAAAAATATGCATGCCAACTGGCATCAGTGCATTGAATGTACGAGCATGCGAGAGGAATTCTAAAATAAGACATATGCTTGAAAGGAACTGAAAGAACATACCTGGTGTTTACATCCCTACTTTATTCAAATAGGGAAAAATGTCGTGGTGACTCAAAAATTAATCAATTAAGTCATTTAAAAAAGAATTTCAAGAATAAACGAATTTTAAAGGAGTCGCTGTTACGCTGTAATTTTACTATCTTTAGAAAAATCACTTTTGAAATATTTCAAGTATAAAACAATTTGAAAAAAATACTTAGAAAAGAGTCGCCACTTAATTTTTTAAAGAAATTAAGAAAACTTAATTTAAAAATTAGAGAAAATGGGTAAGAGGTTCTCATTTACACTTCAAGAAGGTTTTTAAGGCATTTGAAGTGCCCACTAACATGCGGTTATCCTACGACTTAGATTAAATCTTTAACCTTTTTTTTGGAAAAATGATTTAACATAAAAAATAATAATTTACAATATTTGATTAACTTTGAGAAAATAGTTAGACAAAGAATAATTTTTAATTTTTAAGAAAAGAGAATATTAATTAAAATATTTGAATTAAATTGCAAGTGATTAAGATTTTAACAAAATTAAATAAATTAGAATTTATTTGATTCATTTTAAAATAACAATTTAAACCAATTTGGTTATTTAAAGTATGAAAACCATTTTAAAGATATTCAATAAAATTAAGGAACTTTATTAAAATAAACTAACATAAAGAACATAGCTTATCTTTTGGGGAATTTAATTAAATTAAACCAACTCAACTAAAAGGTTAGGTAGAAAACAAATAAAATAAAGAAAGAAGAGGTTAAGCCAAATTTGGGCTTTTGGCCCAAATTCAAATTTCTAGTGCCCATTTAAATTAAATCTGCTACTGGAATTTAGGAGGATTTTGGCCCATTCTCCACTGCCTTTATACAGTGTATACAACTTTTGTATACTGCTGTATATCCTTGTATACCGGCATCCAGAACCTGCAGATTAGTGTATACAAACGTATATAATCCATTTTTGGACTCCTGTACACCCGCGTCTCTGCTTTCAACCTGTATTTCAATACTTAGGTCATATATCAATGTGTACTGCTGTATACAACATGTATACGACCCATTTGGACGTTCGGAGGCTTGCAATTTCAAATTCCAGCTCTGTGTACTGCCTTCAATCTGTTCATCATCTTTACTACTTGCAATGGGGCTGACTCGAGAGGGAAAAAATGAATTTAGGCCTTTATGGCCCATTTCGAGATGCGAAGGGGAAAGGATTTGAGTCCACCTTGGACTCCATACGAAATGGGTAAGACTCAAGCAAAAGAAGTTGAAGGTGAGCCAAAGTCAAACGTCAAGGAAGATGATGTTGAGACCTCATCTACATTGCCTCAAATTAAGAGAAAGCCTAATTTTCCTCAAAGATTGAGGAAGAAAAATGACAATGCAAAATTCTAAAAGTTTGCGGAAATAGTGATAGATTTGAAAGTGAATATCCCATTGGTGGATGCCTTGACCGAAATTCTAGGTTATGCCAAATATATGAAAGAATTAGTGACAAAAAACGAGGGTAATAGATTATGAAACAATTGAAATGCCGCAAACATGTGGTGCGGTGATGACAAGGAATACAATTCTCAAGAAAGATGGGAGCTTTCACTATTCCATGCACTATTGGTGCGTGTACTTTTGCAAACGCCTTGTGTGATCTTGGTGCAAGTATAAATTTGATGCCACTAATGATATTTAATAAGCTTGGGCTTAATGAGCCGCAACTAATAAGCATGAGGCTCTTAATAGCTAATCGTTCAATAAAGAGGCCGGTTGGCGTGGTCTATGATGTTCTAATAAAGGTTGACAAATTTGTGTTTTCCGCTGATTTTATAGTGCTTGATTGTGAGATTGATATTGATATGCCGATTACTCTTGGTAGACCATCTTGGCCACAGTAAAAGCTTTGGTTGGTGTGGAAGGTGGTGAGTTGAAGTTCCAAGTTAATGATGAAGTAGTTAGCTTCAATATTCATAAATCAATGATATATACAAGTGACATGCATGTTGTGTCTCACTTGGATCAGATTGATGAAGTTGTGGCAAATATTGGAGATGCAACGTATTGTGGGGAACATTGGCTCAAGTTCTACTTAATTGTGATCAAATTGAAATTAACGACTATTATGAAGTTGTGGCTACTCTTGTAGGAGTGGGCTCACATACTTCATTTAAAATAAAAC